CTTCCCTCCTACAATAATTTGGTTATAATCTGTGCAATCTCCTCTTGCACTCTGTCTTCTCTGGTTTGTACCTTTTAGTGTGTGTTTTTTAAAAATCTATAACTCTGTACACTTAATATGTATTTTTTTATTGGCTCTTGGAAAGGAGTAGCAATAAACATGTGGTAAGTCTGCCATAAATTGTACTAAATAGAATTACATTTTCAAAGAATAATGCTTAATGTTTTTTGAAACTGCCTATAATGTTAATGGATTTTAATGTGGATTTGTTGAGCATTCAGAATATTAACATTTATGAGCAATCTTTCAGGGTAAAATTGGTAATATGCAGTAACAATATGATAATATTTTTGAGAATTTAGTGTCATAAAATCCAATAACGAGTAAAATAAGCATAAACAGCATGGGAAAAAAAGTCTTCCTTTAATACTATTGACCTTTTTTTTGGCTGCTAAAACACCTCTGTCCTAGTGATTATCCTATCCTTGATCAAGCTTTCTTATAGTTTTGGTATCTTTCCAGAGATATTTTCTGCATACAAAAGTGAATACACTTATATCTATCCCTCCTCCATTCTCCATTTTAATTCCAAATGTTTCAGAAGGCCCAGCACCAAGGCAGCTGGAGACATTCACAATCAATATTTCAAATATTGAACTTTTATTTTTCAAAACAAAGTGTCCTTTCAACGCCCCCCCGCCTCCCCAAGTGGATTGGGGGAAAAGCCTGATTATGGTACATTTTCCTGTTCCAACAATTCCTGGAAGTTGGTAGCAAGTTTCATGCTGATCCATGCTCTGGTAAGCAAGGAGGGACTTGCAAGGGAGGGGACACCAATGTATAGTACTGGCAGAATTAAGAAACATCTGCATTTGAATCTTTTCTCATTTTCTCTAGGATTTTAGCTTCCCTGCTACTAGCCAATTTTTGTGACTTTTTCTTGAAGTGACAATCTGGAGGTATGAAAACACTCCCAGATAACTTAAAAACACACAAAAAAAATCTCACAGAAACACACAGAAAAGATGCGGTTTGCATGGAGTTGGTCCAGTCATTCTGTGAGCTACTGCAGAAAACTGTTTTATATACATTGGAAGGAAAGGAAAGCTATTCAGTAAGGAATCAATATTGCTCCAGAATCTTCTTGTGACTCTTCATTATCTGAGAACAGTTCTCACTCATTCTGGCCACAGGGGTAGACATGTCACCAAAGCTGGGCCAAATGTAGTATGTCATAGATCACAGAGACTGGCCCAAGGACTGGATAATGAGCCAGTGTAAATCATTGAGTCCTTCTCCTAGGGTTTTCCAAACTGAGGCTGAAAGAACCAGTTTTGCCTGCTACTTATGGAGTGGTTAGGCTCTGAGTCCAGAGCTGCCCGTAGCCGTGTCCTTTGCCATGTGATGAAGCCAATCTGTTCTGGGGTCTCTGACATGCAAAAAAGGAAATAGGAATGAGAGGTTTGGGTTGTATTGATGGGATCCAAATCTTCGTCCTTGTTCACAAGCCTGGCTCTACCCTTATCCTTCCTAGGTTGGTTGCATGTGTCAACGAACTTTGCTTAAGCTAGTTGAAAATAAGTTTCTGTCAGCTGCAGCAAAATATATTGTACCTATTAGCCCCAGCTCCATAGATCAAAGTGCCTTCTAGGTATCTCCTTTTGGATGTTCCTTGGTACTTCAAATTCATCTGCAGTAGAATGCAGCTTTCCTTCCTTACCCATTCTACCTACTCCATTTCCTTTATTTTTTTTATCTTGATCATCAGGTCAGCATCTACTCAGCTGTCCAAGCCAAAAACCAAAGCTCTACTAGACTTCTCCCTTTCTACTTGATCCTCATCCTTCAAGATCTAGTAGTTTCTAAGTGCTGTTCCTTTTCATAAATTTTTTAAGATTTTTATTTATTTATTTATTTATTTGACAGAGAAATCACAAGTAGGCAGAAGTAGGCAGAGAGGCAGGCAGAGAGAGAGGGAGAAGCAGGCTCCCTGCTGAGCAGAGAGCCTGATGTGGGGCTCCATCCCAGGACCCTGGGATCATGACCTGAGCCAAAGGCAGAGGCTTAACCCACTGAGCCACCCAGGCACCCCCCTTTTCATAAATATTTCTCATATCTGTTACCTTGTCTTCTATTACCTTTGAGACCCCTTCTGCTGCTTTTTGGCTTCTCCCACTGACCGAAAAGGCCCAATCTCAGAATCCTTACCCCATCCACTGTTGAATGGGTTCCCTTTTAGTCCCAGATGATTGGTCTAGCATAGTTACCATAAAGGCTGGTCAATAATATAAGACATAATGTCAGGAAAGCTCTTTTAAACAGGGACAGTGAAGATTAATTACATCAAGCAGGTCCTTTTCTATAAGTCTGAGTCTGAGACCCATGGAGGGCTATTCAGTTGTTGCAAAACGTAAGTTGAAGATACACAGAGAGAAGGCAGAGGTGATGACAAGGAGAACGTTAACTCTTGAGTAAACAGAAAAGTGCAAGCAGAAGCTGTGTGTAATCCAAAACTACGAAGTATATTGAATGGAGGATAAAGTAATTGGCTGATATGAGAGAAACGAAGAGATGAAATTACCATATTGGTTGGGGACAAACTCTTGCTTTTGAGGAGGGAACAAAGTTAAGACTAGAACTGCTCTGGACTATGCTTAGCCGCTTAATTCCTTAATTATGCATGCTCCAGCCTTTGTGAAGCATGGCTGGATGACAGTACATTGATTCCTGTGAAATTTCTGTGTTCCCGAGCTGCTGCCTATTTCTAAGACCTCAAGCCACAAAAATGATCTACTCTAGCTATGGAACTTAGTTCCGCAACTGTGTGACACTCTGCCATCTCTCTGTTTATGTGCATATACTATTTCTTCTAACTGGAATAATAATTCTCATCTCCTAAATATTTCTAACTTCTTTACCTGGATCTGGATACCACTTTACTCATCTTTGAAGACTGAGCTCAGGCTCCTCTAAGCTTTCTATAACCCAACCAAATTTAATGGTATTCTGTATTGTTGACTGTGCATCTCCATGACTGCTTTTGAGGGTAGAGAAACTCTTTTGTTCCCCAATGTGTCCCCAGTGCCTGATCCAGTACCCAGCACAAAGCAGATACTCAGTGGATGCCATTGTTTTTGTTAAAGGTCAGTTGCCTAGACTCTTTCAAAAACCAGGAACTTTAAGGGCCTTCCATTATCATCCCTCATCCAGTAGCTCCAATTGTAGTTGTGCCATGGTTCCTTAAAAAGACAATGATTACATGGCTTTGTGCAGACTTCTTCGGTTCAGAATGCCCTTCTCTTCCCTGTCCCCTAACTCCTTGCAAGAACAGAAGTAGGGAGACCAGAGTTATGGAATTTTGCAGTTATCAATAAAAGAGAGGATGACTGCCTGGACTAAGGAGCACTGGTGGAATAAGAGGTAGAGACAAAAAATTGTAGTCAAGAAGTACTTGAAGAATTGGATGAGATGAGGAATGGGGGCATGTCAAAAATAACTACTGGGTTTTTCTGTTTGATCAACTGGTGTAGTCAGAGATAGGAAAGAATGGAGGAGATGCAAATTAAGAGGTTTCTCAACATTTACATACATAATCAGATTTCTTGTCTAAATTTTGCTGATATATGCTATACTTAGGAAATGGGAATACTGATTTGTTTTTCTGGGTGGTGTTGGGGAAAATACTTAGTTATTTTTTTAATTTATCATTTAAACTATTTTAAAGTATACTGTTCAGTGGCATTAAGTACATTCACATTGTTTTTGTGTAATCATGAGTACCATCCATTTCTAGAACTTTTTCATCTTCTCAAATTGCAGTTTCTTGTCCACTAAACACTAACTGCCCATTTTCTCCCTCTCTCCTAGTCCCTGGCATCCACCATTATACTTTTTGTCTCTATGAATCTGACTACTCTAGGTACCTCAAATGAGAGTATAGTATTTGTCCTTTTGTACTGGCTTATATCACTTAGAATGATGTCTTCAAGTTTCATCCATATTGCAGCACATGTCAGAATCTCCTTCCTTTTTAAGGCTGAATAATATTCCATTGTCTGTATAGACACCATTTTATTTATCCATTCATCCTTCAATGGACATTTGGGTTTCTTCCACCTTTGGCTATTGTGAGTAACACTGCCACGAACCTGGGTGTGCAAATATCTGTACCAGTCCTTGTTTTCAATTCTTTTGGGTATATCCCAGAAGTGGAATTGCTAGATCATATGTTTAATTTTTGAGGCAGCACCATAATGTTTTCCATAGCAGCTCTACCATTTTATATTCCCACCAGTAGTGCACAAGCGTTCCATTTTCTCCACATTCTCCCCAACACTTTTATTATTTTTTATTATAATAGCCAACCTATTAAGTGAGTGAAGTGGTATCTCATTGTGGTCTTAATTTGCATTTCCCTAATGATTAGTGACATTGAACATATTTTCATGTGCTTACTGGCCATCTATATATATTATTTGGAGAAATGTCTATTTAAGTCCTTTGCCCATTTCAGAATGGAATTATTTTTGTTGTTATTGTTGTGGAGTTCACAGTTATTTTGTAATATGAAATGAGTTTTAGGAATAAAACAGGTCTCTAAGGCATGAAAACAAGTGTTACATATAGTATGACAATGCTAGGGACCTTGGGAAAAGGGGCAGAAAAAGGTGAGGATGTCAAAGAAAGTTTAAAAAAATGTTAAAGTTTTAGCTTTAGTAAAGAATTAAAAAAAAGGACATTCTCAGGATTCTGAGCTCATTTTAGTACAGTAGTTTGGCAACCTTATGGGTTAAATAGGCATTGCTGGCTACCCTGAGAACCTAACCACTATATTTAAGAACACTACTTGTATAAAAAATGCCCTTTCTTACAAATCTTCTAGTTAAAAAAAAAACAACAAACTTTTGGTATATAATTCATATATATGATGACTGTTTATATACTAAAATCTAAATTTGAAAACTAAGTTATACTAATGGATTATAGAAATAACTATCATATAATGCTTTTAATTAGGAATTTAATATTTTTTAATTACCATAAGTTGATGTTTATGAATCATTTGTGAGATACATTATAAAAAATACACAGGATGCAGAGCTATAGAACTAAAGCCAAATCATAATACAATTGATAGAAACATGAAAACAAGCTATTATCTACAGATAGAAATAAAGAAGGATTACATAGAAATCTGTTCTGTTAACTGAAGCAGCTGGAGTAAACACTATTATTAGCCATTTGTAATAGATAACGAATCTCCAAGAATAATGCCCAGTTTAACTTAAATAAATTTTATGATTTTTAAAGTAACCATAAATCTGCTGAATTTGGATAAACTGTTGGATTCTGAGTTTTTGGTAAAATGTTATAACACTTGGATTAGATAAATAACCTATATTATATACGTAAAATGTAATATATATTTTAGAAGAAGTAACATATTATTTTAAAGTATATCTAGGGTTATTTTCAATGTTCTACACTCTATATTCATTGTAAATAACTGTAGTTGAGAAAACATACCATTCTCTAAAAATAAAAACAAAAAGCTTTCATTAATCTGAAACTAAAGATTAGCTTTCCATTTCTTGTCAGGATCCGTGTTGCTAGCTGTGGAAAGAAAATTAGAGAGTAAAAATTTAACAAAAGATAAGCAATGGATTTTAAGTTATTTTGTGGCTAGAAATTCCTAAAATAATTTTGTTGCTTAATATAAAGGTGGTATTTTTTGTACATATAAAAGCACTGCTGAAGCTTCTATACAAAATTCAAGTTTCAAGCTTCTTGATTTTAAGGATTACACTTCTATAAAGATTGTTAATTTGCTGAATTAATCTAACACTAGTAAACACTTATAGAATTACTGCTTTAATATTTTTGAGTTTACTACCTTTACTACTGGTAAAATGTTTGGATGTTCCCAAATCTTCTGCATGTGAAATTCTTTGTGGTCTTGTGGTAGGGAGAAGAGAGGCTATCTTCCCGTTATATGCCTTTGATTGTAGTTATGGTGAGTAAGAACTGCAACCCCTAAGCAAAATTCTAATTCCTGTGAGAGCTTTAGCTTCCAATTTGTGGTCCACTGGCCTTTCACTACTAACCCTTCATAGTGCTTTTTTCTCCTTCTTAACAGTGAAGTTCAAGGAAGGACTCTGGTGTGCGTTATTTTTCCTAAAAGCAAACTAGTTTGTAAAAAAAAAAAAAAAAAAAAAATATATATATATATATATATATATACATATATATATATATAAATATATTTTAAATGCTGGTAACAAAATAGTTTAAATTTGGAAGTATACTTACATATTTTTCCTTCTTTTTCTAATTTTTTCAAATGAAGTGAGACATTATGTTCAGCCATTTTATGTAAATGCTCAGGAATATTCTAAAAGAAAAAATGAGGGTGAAAGACGACATTTCTTTTTTAAAAAAGAATGAGTTAATCTTGTTGAAATTATTAAAATATGAAAGAAAAGGAAAACTTTAACTTAAATACATTTTTATATAGGAATAATCAAAGTGATTTCACTTTGTATATGTCTTGCTTTAGGCCACTCTATTTTTAATATAAAATATATATAAAAATATATATTTTATGTATATACCTATACATAAAATAGACTGTAAGATCTATAAGGACAGTAACAGCATTGGTTTTGTTCATTACTATATACCCAGTGCTTAGCACCGCTTAGCACCTAGTGGGAACTCCGTATTTTATGAATGAATAAATAAATAGCTGTAAAAATTATTCTAGAGTGTTGATGGTACTATGGACAATTGGCCCTATGGTTTACTTATTAGGTTACATGATAATATCCTTGTACATTTCCCTTGGTTATCCTAGCTCTGTCATTCTTTAGTTTTCATCTGGAAACTTCCTTAGACTTCTCTTAAACTTCATGTTTACTTACATTGAGTTGTATTGTTGACTCACTTCTTACTCAACCAACTTAACACAGCAACATCACACATTATTGTTCCCCAAATATAAACTTCCAAAACCAAACCCTCTCTTAAGCTCCATTACCATATACTACATCCACCACTGTGATCTTCTAGATCTAATTATGCGACTCCTCTGCCTAAGGTCCTTCAGTGGTCATGCCCAGGTTAGTGGCTAATGCCCATATTTTTTAGGATGGCAGTCAAGGCTACCATGATCTGATCATGTCTGTCTTTCTTGCTTCATTTCCTGAGACTCCTTTCCTGCCCATCTACATATGCATTTTGTGCTCCAGTCATATGCAATCTCTTTGTGGGTTTTCAAACATATACAATATACATATACAATGCTCTTTTTTTACTTGCAAAGCATGTTTTTCCTTCTGTCTAGAATGACTTCCTCCTGTACTCTGGCTTGGAAAATGCTTGGAAATGGTTTCTTCAAAACTGGTTAAATAACTAAGTTTTTAAAACTTTTCCAGACAAGCCTTGATACCCTGCATCTTCCATCAGGTGAAATTTATTCCTCTTTTTTTTATGCTCTGATATACTGTGTAGAAGTCTTATAGGAAGCCTGGTATGACAGAAAAAAGACTTGAGTATCTGACATCTCACTTTTGAGTATGTGATATCTGCTAGTTGTGTGCCTTTGGGAGTTACTTAGCTCACACTTTTTTAAAGTCTATTACATTGGAATAATTGTATCTTTATGTATTAAAAATTCGAGGCGTATGAATTAAGGGCCTCAAATTACATTTGTAAGTGTAAACCAATGAGTACATAGTCTACCACACAATAAGGTGCTCAAAAATGATTAAGTCGGTATTATAAGCATCTGTTGAACATGTCTGTTTTCACTAAACTATGAGTCCTTTGGGGTAGGGATGTACAGTCATCTTTGTATCTCAGTACCTAGTCTACTGTGTGGCATACAAAAGGCATCCAGTAAATGTTGAATGAATAAATCTCTCTAGAATACCTATGCCATTCTATACATAACAGGTATGTGACACATTTTTACAGTGAATACAGTGACTACACCTCTAAATGCAGAATCATCATTTTGAAAGGATGGACAATTGCTTGATGACTCATCTGGGAGGGTGATTCCAGAGTTCTGTTGTCTGTACTTAAGTTAGGAATAAAAATCCCAATGTACCAATGTATAGTCTAGTGTGGCTATATTCTATTATTATGAGAAAATGAACTCCTTCACAGAATTTAAATATTTATATTACCCTTTTGTCAATGGCATTTTTTATCTTTAGCCGTTTTAACCTAAGCACACTGAGTATATGATTGTTTTTTGATCACTTGGGCCAATGGAACATTAAATTTCTTTACTAATTATAATTGTCCCCAGGTACTTTTCACTCTCATGTATCTTATGGCTATACAGTTTGTAGTAGTGGGAGGTGGTTTTTTTTTTTTTTTAGTTTATTTATTCGTTTTTTAGTAATCTGTGAACCCAACATGGGGCTTGAACTCATGACCCTGAGATCAAGAGTCAGCACATTCTTCTGCCTGAGCCAGCCAGGTGCCCCAGTAGTGGCAGTTTTTAAACCCAGGTAATCTTTGCTGAAAAATGGAATTATACTAATTGATTGCCTTACAGTGCTGTTATATATGTACTCAGAGGCCACTGAAGTGAGAGCACTTTTTCCTCTACATTGTAAGTTATTCTAGTCATTTTCTTTTATATGTACTTTCTCCTTCTTCTCCCTCGTTAGGCATTGCTACTACTTTCCACTCTATTAACCTAGTATGTCACTAGCAGATCACCCTTCTCACTTGCTATGGGATAGGACACCAATTATCAAGATGGCTACAATAATACATAAATCATTACAAAACTTAATCATTAGGGTGTTGGTAATAGTCTCTCCTAAAAGATGAAGTATGTAAGGTTTAATGATAGCTTGGAATGTTTCTTTTGGGTTCTCCAGGTCCATTTCTATTTGTTTAACTTCTGTGTTCTAGAAAGTTGAGATTGCTGATCTTGAATTTATACAAGCAGCACTACTTATAAAATTAATAGACTTATTCTGTTCTGGATTGTATTTACCATATCTATAGTCTATTACAAAGATTATTCTAATAAAACTATTGCTATGTACAAATAAGATAAATGAAAATTACCTTGTAAATGTTTTTTACAAGCTCCATTGCTGTAAATGATTTTTCAAAATTATCACGAAACAATGTAAGAATTTGCTGTTCTCGGAGATTTCTGTGAGAAATGTATTCTAGAATTTTAGCTTCAGCGTTATAGATAACTGGGCCATGTCCTGAATTAGAATTATAAAAAATTATTTCAACCAGATAAAACATATCAAGTACAAATGAAGTTAATTTGTTCTGTTTAACAATAATTCATATGATGTACTGAAAAAGCACACTAAGTATATTAACAAATAGGAATTACTTGGAAAACCATACAGATAGAAGATTTAAAAATTATACTCAATGCCAAAAAACAGATAATTATATCAAAATCTGTATGGAATATTATTATATATATTAAAAATAAAAAATAAACATTTAACAATAAAAACAGCATCCACAAGAGTAATGATAGGTAATATTTATAGAGTGCTCATTATTTGCCAGGCACTTTTCTAAAGGTTTAATATATATTATTCTTAGAAGAGTCCGATGAGGTAGCAACTATTATTATCCCTTCTTTATATTTATAGCAGAAGCTGAGATATGGGGGGGTGGCAGATAACTTGCGCACAGTTACACGTTGAAGAAGAGATGGAGCTGGAGGGCTGACTTGAGAGCTCTTAATCAATCACTCTATGCTCTTAACCACTGTGTCACACTTAATGTAAGAGATTGAAAGGGGGAATGTAAAAAGTAGCTTCATGTGACTAAGATCTATTAAAAATTCACATGAACCACAGTAGAACTTTAAGAATCTTACGTATAAGCTAGTAATTCAGAAATGTCGACAACCCAGATTAAGTTATATTAAAATCTAGTTGCTCTTTAAGACAGTACAAATGAATTTATGACACGAGTCTGCAAGAGGGGTGTTTAAAATTTTTGAGAACAAGATATTCAGAGGCAGACTCACCTGTTATCATGTAAAGAGCATGGGCTTTGGTTAGAATATTGACAATCATTTACTTGTATGGGGCCATGAAGGTCTGAATCCCTGAGCTTGTTTCTTCAGCCGGGCAGTAAAGTGAAGTAAAGCTACCTGCTTTACTGGGTTTTTGTTTTGTTTTGTTTTTAAAGATTTTTATGTATATATTTGACAGAGAGAGACACAGTGAGAGAGGGAACACAAGCAGGGGGAGCTGGAGAGGGAGAAGCAGCCTTCCCGCCAAGCAGGGAGCCCAGTGAGGGGCTCGATTCCAGGACCCTGGGGTCATGACCTGAGCCGAAGGCAGACACTAAATCAGCTGAGCCACCCAGGCACCCTGTCACTGGGTTTTTGTGAAGACAACACAGTCTAGGTCCCTGCACAGCACTGGCCAGGCTCTCATATATGGTGGCTGTGGCTACAGAACACAATTTACAAATAAGCTCCTGCTCTATCAGGAAGCCGGTTTAAGGATTCATTAAAGCAAACACTCTAAGAACCATTACTAGGCAGCCTCTCATTAGCTTTGCTTCATTCAGTGTGAGTGAAACATATATCTCTTCTCTTTAAAAACAGCTGTCAGCTTCCATTCCTCTTGTGTCATAATACGAATTCAAATGCCCAGCTCCACTATGTTTCTGATCCTCTCAGTAAGAGAAACTCATAAGAGAACATAAGGGTACTGATGATACTCTATTTACAGATCTTTCTGTGACTCTGGTTAGGAACAAGTTAGAAGGACTTAAAAAATTAGGTAACCTAGTTTCTTTTTCCTTCTGGGCCCTCTTGTTGAGTCTTATTATCTTTCTCCACTTTTAGGATGGAAGGGAGATTCATGCTGCAGAGCAGTGTGTGACAGCTGAGATACTAAAACAGGTTTCTTTTTCTGGAGAAGTGAAATTAATATAGTTTTAGAGTTGACATAGAAGCTATAGATATTTCAGTAGTGTGAGTTAAAGAAACTGAAGCTCAGAGTTCATGGCTAAAATGTGGCCTGCAACAGAAATCTAATAATTAACAAAAGTGAAGATACCAAAAGATAAATTTATTTCTTTTGTTTAACAGTTCTATTAATAGCTTTAAGGGTGTTAAAAAATAAACCTTGTATCTTTATAAAGTAATTAATGTAACTCTCAGCCTTTTAAAAAAAGATTTTATTTACTTAATTTAGATAGAGAGTATGTGAGGGCAGGGGCTGGAGGAGGAGCGGAGGAGGAGGGAGAGAATCTCAAGCCCATTCCCCACTGAGCCCAGAGCCCGATGGATGGCTGGATGCAGGGTTGGACTGCATGACCCTGAGATTATGACCTGAGCCATGAGCTGAAGTCAAGAGTCAGTCACCCAATTGACTGAGCCACCCAGGTGCCCCAACTCTCCAGCTTTTTTAATTGCATGGCTAGTTAAGACTTAGGGGCATAATTTAAAGAATTGCTTTATGGGTATCTCTTCTAACTCTGAAAACATATAAACACACACATAGACAAAACAAAATGAACCTTCTTCATCATTTCACACAAATGGTTTGCTAGATTTAAGCAACTACCCACCTGGATATATAATATCAGCTTTGATCTTTAATAGCTCTTTTAGGGAGTTCATATAATCATAGAGGTCTTCAAAGACAGTTGTTCCTTCCCCTAGGATGCAATCTCCAGAAAAGATAGCATTCTCCTCTTCTAAAAGTAGAGCCATATGATCATCAGTGTGGCCAGGTGTGTGTATAACCCTGGTTAAAAGAAAACGAACAGAGAGCAGCAATTAGAAACTCTTAGGCTTAGAAGAAATTATTCTCCATCCTTATCTCTGGATAAGACACAAGTGGTGTCAAACTGGGTAAAAAGCTCCCTTTTCTCTTGTGGCCCACTGAAAATTATCATCAGAAAATTCTCTGCTTTAAATCAGATTTCCCACTCTGAAGTACAAATTTAATACTTTTCCCTTTTTTAAAAATTTTATAAATAATAAGCATGCACCAATTAGAGCAAATGTCGAAAATAGAAAGGAAACTACTTAAAGGAGATATGAATTCACAATCATTCCACTACTCAGTGCTTTTATTATTTAAAAACATTTTGTTTTTTTCAATTTCCTTTGCATAGATGTTTATTTTACAATATACTTTGTGGTTAGACTTTGAGAAAAAAGCACTTTCCTAAGTTGCTGTTGGGAGAGCAAAATGTATAGTATAACACATATGGAGGGGAATTTGGCATTTCTAGCAAAATTACATAACCCTTTGACCCGCTGGTCCCACGGCTAGAAATTTACCCTGAGAATACACATTCACAAATACAAAAAATATATACAAGGTATTCATTACATTGTTTATAAAAACAAAATATTAGGAACAACCTAGATACCCAACCATTGGACAGACACTATGGACACATTGTGGTAAACCACACCATGGAATACAATGCAGCAGTCATCAAAAAAAAGGACGAAGATCTCTGTGAACTGATATGGAGTAATTTGCAGGATATATTGTCAAGAGGTAAAAAAGTGTGGTTCTTTTCATGCCTCTGCTTTACTGCTGGAGCAGGCCGCAAGCTGTACCTATGTTGCAACCCAACTACCTACCCCCTGACCTTAGTCCAGTGTTCCAGGCCACACAAGGCAGGCCTCAGGGCAGGGTGGTTGGTGTGGGTCCTGGAGCCTGGGGCTGTGTTTGGCCTGGGGTTCAGATCTCAGGTCCACAGGCACCTGTGCTCTGCAGCCACCCTGATGAGGCTGCATGGCCCTGGGCCAGTCCCTGACATAATTTTGCTGAATGTGCCACAAAGCAGATCCTTGATTCTGCCAGGGCTATAGACCCTTTGCAGTCAGGCAAGTTCTCCCCGTACCCCACCTCTTTTTGGCCTTATCACCAACCACGTTTTAGCCACACAGCCATCCAGACTGAGAAGATCCAGAAACTTGGGGGCCACGTGAGCCACGGTTGCAGCCCCACTGGCCAGCATCTGCGGGGGTAATGCTGGTGGCATGTGTCACCACAGCATCAGTTTCAACACCCATCATCCAGGTTACTTTGGAAAAGTTGGTCTGAGACAGGACCACTTAAAGAGGAACCAGAGCCCCAACCAGAGTCCAGCTGTCAACTTTGATAAACCAGGAACCTTGGTGGGTGAGGAGACTCAGGTAAATGCTACCAAAAAAAGAAGGGAGGTGCTCCTGTCGTTGATGCAGTGTGTCGGGCTACTAGAAAGTTCTGGGAAAGGGAAAGCTCCCCAAACAGCCTGTCATCCTGAAGACAGCAAAGCAGAAGAGCTGAGCAGAAAATCCATGGGTGTGTGTGGGAGCTGGGTCCTCAAGCCATGGGGGAGGAGGTTCATTAAATGCTAACCAGAGGGGCGCCTGGGTGGCTCAGGGGGTTACGCCTCTGCCTTTGGCTCGGGTCATGGTCTCAGGGTCCTGGGATCAGGCTCTCTGCTCGGTGGGGAACCTACTTCCCCCCTCTCTTTGCCTGCCCCTTTGCCTACTTATGATCTCTCTCTGTCAAATAAATAAATACAATCTTTAAAAAAAAAATGCTAACGAGGGCTTTTCTCTTAAAAAACAAAGCATGAAAGAATGTTTACAGTTGCTCTTTTGTGCAAGAAAGGTTGGGGAAATAAAAAGGTATACGTATATATTTCCCTATTTTTGTAAAAAGAAACGGAAGATAGATAAAAAACTAATGAATTACAGCTGCCTATAGGGGCAGGCAGGTGGGATGTAGGGAACAGAGATGCAAGCAAGACTTATCTGATAGTAACTTTTTTTATTAGTTTTAACTTCTGAGTTATATAAATATATATTCTAAACATAAAACTAAAACTCTAAACATGAAAGAAATCAATCTTACCATATACTGGAAAGATAGCACAGTCATGGTACTATTAGTTCAAATAATTCTGAAATACTAAGATTATATATCTTTAATAGAATGTATCTTAAGGTTAAAAGAAATGGAAGGATATTTTGAATTTTACTTAATAGGTTTATTGTTGGCAGTGTTACTGGTTATTGTGTTTCCGAAACTGTCTTGTGTTTACTGTATGACAATATAAACAATAAACTGATGTTGAGAAGCAAGGTTTTTACTGTGGGATAAAGAAAAAAAAATACATGAATGAGGAAATTAAGGTTTTGGGGGTTGTTTCCCATCTGAATTGAGGAATCATTATGAATTCATCATTTCATTTTTTTTCTTAACTCTATGAAAAGCCCAGAAGTAATAACACTCCACGAGTCTTGAGCATGCCTGACACTTAGTTCTGGATGGAACTGAAATACCATTTCCCACTCAAATAAACCAGGGCTTCTTGCAGACGTGGCTCGCTCCAGGTCTGGGACAGGGAAAGTAAACTGTGATATGGAGACATTTCTTTTCCTTTTTCTTTTTTTTTTTTGATTAAACCCATTGCAACCTATTGATGAAAGTATACAATGTTACATGAAAATAATTCCAAGAGGCATTTTCCACCACTATAAGAGTATGTGGTGTGGGTGTGCTTGTATCTTATGGACAATCTTACAAACAATCACACATACAATGCGTTTACAAACAGACCCCCAATCTTTTTTAATCTACAGAAACTCACTTGGAGAACCACTCTTTTTCAGAGTCTGCAGACTGTCTTATTCATTGATGGGTTCGGAGTGCACCCTCTATTTGTCCCCCCACCCCCTACTCCAGAACTCAGTAATGGTTTTCTTTGATAGCCAAGGCAACAGATTTCTTAAATTAGGGGATCAGAAATTCTAATTCTCCAGTCACCTGGGTAGCTAATGCTTTAATCTGCATAAAAACGGTGTTAAAATTCACTTCACATAGGCAGGAGGAAAAAAGGAGATGACATCAGAGCTGCTTTGCTAAAGATCAGAGGAACTACAGCTGTGGCCTTCCCATTCATCAGGTGGCAATTTATCTAGTTCTGCCACTTCTGTGATAGAGTGGACTTTATAAAGATGGCTCTCTTAGGAGATTTAGAATAGTCAACAAAAGCTGTCAGACTGACTTTTCTTTGAGAAATGGAACTCAGGTTACTAGAAAATTCTTGAAGGTTATATTCAGAATCAAATCCTACTGAAAAACCTGCTTCCTACTTTTTTACCTAAGGGTTCTTGGTGGGTATTGTCCCCATCTCTAATGTATTTTTCCCCCAAAATTGGCAAGCAGATCAGATCAACTGGACATCAAATACTTGAGAACTTAAGTAGATTTTACCTTCTGTTTATGGAACTTTTGCTTAATGATGAATCTTCTTGTTAATATTTAAAACAACTGGGTTTTACTTACTTGATAAAAATGGAAATAGGAAGCATCGTCATCAGCAAACTAAATGTTTTATTCAAATTCTAGCATAATTATAATTTATTTTTGTGAAAAGGTTATTTACTAAGTTATTTTTAAAAAAGATTTATTTTTATTTATTTATTTATTTATTTTTTTAAGATTTTATTTATTTGTCAGCGACAGAGGGAGAGCGAGCGAGCACAGGCAGACAGAGGCAGAGGGAGAAGCAGGCTCCCCACCGAGCAAGGAGCCCGATGTGGGACTCGACCCCAGGACGCTGGGATCATGACCTGAGCCGAAGGCAGCCGCTTAACCAACTGAGCCACCCAGGCGTCCCAAAAGATTTATTTTAGAGAGACACACACACAGAAACAGAGACAGAGTGGGGAGGGGCAGAGGGAAGGGGAGAGAGAGCCTTAAGCAGACCCTATGCTGAGTACAGATCCTGAGGTGGGGCTCAAGCTCATGGCTCTGAGATCATGACCTGAGCTGAAACTAAGAGTCGGATGCTTAACCAACTGAGACACCCAGGCACCCTTGTTGTTTCTTGATCTGAAAGCTGCTCATATGATTTGTTCAGTTTATAACAATACACCATGTTGCACATGGATGATATACACACTTTTCTTGTTGTATATGTTAATAAAAAGCTTAAAATAGGGGGCACCTGGATGGCTCAGTCGTTAAGCATCTGCCTTCAGCTCAGGTCATGATCCCAGGGTCCTGGGATCGCGCCCCACACCCGGCTCTCTGCCCAGCGGGTAGCATGCTACTCCCTCTCCCACTCTCTCTGCTTGTGTTCCCTCTCTCACCATTTCTCTCTCTCTGTCAAATAAATGAATAAAATCTTAAAAAAAAAAAAAAAAGCTTAAAATAGGGGAGTTTGGGTGGCTCAGTCAGTTAAGCATCTGTCTTTGGCTCAGGTCATGATCCCGGGATCCTGGGATGGAGCCTCACACTGGGATTCCTGCTTAGTGGGGAGACTGTTTGTTCTTCTCCCTCTTTCTCTGCCTCTTCTCCCTACTGTGTCTCTCTCTTAAAACCTTACAATATATGGTCTGTTTTTTGGCAGATGGGTGGTAATTAACTACCAAGGGCCGAATGTTCTTAATCTGCAAATTAGGTATAGATTTAATATCCATGATTCTGTGATATTTAATAAACCAGTACTGTGATTCCCAAGCCTTTGAGATAGGTCTTTAATGTGTGATGGGGAAAATCAGTATTGTCAAAAATACTCTCTGAAGAATTAGTAATGTAATGTTTATTATCTTTTGGTATCATGAACAAATTACAGGAGACACTATCATATTTCCAACAAGAACATTTTAAGAAAATTGCCCAGAAATTAGTTGGGTTTATAAATTAAATTTACAAATCAAAGGCATATTAGGAAAAATGGAACACTGGCTTGAAAGGGGGCATGGATACCCAGTTATTTTCTCTTTCTCGTTCACTGGCTTATCCACTGCCCTCTTTGTAGATATTTATTACCTGTTGGATAAATATTCAGTGTTTCCATATGCCAGGGACTGAGGATCTGAAGATGAATCTGGCTTCTGCTGTGTATCAGAGAATAGCTAGTTTATCATCACACCTCCTTCCTCTTTCTCCTGGGCATGAAGTTAAACCCTATTTCCCAGCTTCCCTGCAGTCAGGAGTGGCCTATGACTGAATTTATAGCCAGTGTAACAGAAGGTCTGGTCTGTGAAAGCCTCCCATGAAAGATCCCTTCCATGCTCCTTCTCTGCCACCCACTGGACTGACTGAGGTGAACAAAGAAACCTTAAAACCAACTCTTGAGGATGGTGGAATCACAAGATGGAAGGTGCCTAAAACATTCCTGCAGGGGGGCCACTTGATAATCAGGAATCCTTCCTGGACGTTATGGGACTGGGAAGAAAACTTATTTCATGTATGAACCATTATATATTTGGGGGTCGGTTTGCTACGGTGACTGGCATTAACTAATACTGTGAACCTAAGGGGTTGATGACCTTTTATGGAGATACCTACTTATACAAAAATTACGATAAAATTTAATAAGTGCTATGATAAAATAATGGTAAGTTATATGAAAGTTAGAGGAGGAAAGGGGCGCCTGGGTGGCTCAGTTGGTTAAACATCTGCCTTAGGCTCAGGTCATGATCCTGGGATCAAGCCCTGCATCAGGCTCCCTGCTTCTCCCTCCCCCTCTGCCTCTCCCCTTGGCTTGTCCTCTCTCTCGCTCACTCACTCTTTCTCTCAAATAAATAAAATCTTAAAAAAAAAAAAAAGTCAGGGGAGGTAACAGTTAATTCTGCCCAGAAAAGGTTCCTGAAATAAGTAACTTGTGAACTGAAGTCTGAAGAATGAATAGGTAAGTATTTATGAGGGAGACAAGTAGGGGGAAAGTCGTGATGCATACCTGGTAAAGGAGAAGGCATGAGCAAAGGCATGAACGTACATAATGTGTTCAGGTATCTGGATATGGTTAATTGTATTTGCAACGGCGGTGGTAGGAACTTAGACCAGAAAAGTGGTTTGGGGCTAGACAGTGACATGGTAAGGAGAATAAACATGATCTCAGAGGCACTAAGAATTATTCAAGATTTCAAGTGACATTGGGTATGAAGGGTAGTTTGGAAAGGGGAGCCTGGAGATAGGAATACTAAATAAGAAGTAGTGGTAGTGGACATGAAGAAAAAGGGACAGCATGGGCAAATATTTTTAAGGTAAAATCTAACACGATAAGATGTGGTGGGTGGGGAAAGGGGGAGTGATAAAGATGAACTGAAGCCAGCTTCTGTCTTAGAAGAAAAATAAAATCTTAAGTGCTGAGAGCAGTAGGTGTTCTGAAGTCAGAAAGCAAGTAGACTGTGGGGGATAGAGGAGAACCCTACGTAGTTTAGTTTTAAAATTACTGAGTATGAAACAACTTTTCGACCTGATTTAGGTCATGGGGGATTATGGGGCTGACCTAAAATGTATTTATTTTACGTATGGGTCATCTTTTGCAATTGAGAGCATGAGAAAGTCCTGAATTTAACTGATGAGTAGAGCCCGAAACCATTCCCAGCAGGAAATACTTATCTATTTCTTAATTTAAATTTTATTAAAAAACTGGTAATCATGTAACTCAAACAAATAACTTAAAAAGGGTGGATAGAATGAAAATTCTTCCTTTTCTCCTATTTCTCAAGCAACCTGGTGTTTCTTCCCAGAGTAACCATGTTATCAGATCTTCTATATCCTTCCCGGGATATTCCTCACTCATACAAGCAAAAATTCAGAAATCTTCCTTTATTCCCTTTTTATAAGACGCGTACATAACCCTCCCCCTTCCCTGATTAAAGGACATTTACTGACCTGAGAGTGGCACCTTCAGTTTTTATCACATCTCCATCTCGCAGATAAACATATTGTTGCTTTCCATCTCCTATAATTTCTTCTCTCGGAGGATTCCGTGGGAGTTTTTTAATGCAATATTCAGTGTCTAGTAACAAAACAAATGAAATATATTAAGTCATACTCTAAGTGATAATTCAGCCTTTTAAGAGATCAACTTTCTTTCCTAATGTTTTTCCTGTATTTGGTTTTTGCAGTAATTTCTTAAGCCCTTTCTCTACCCCATTAATTTATTTCAGCCATTTTTATTCTTTCTTGTTTCAAACTCCTTCCTTTTGTAACACTGTTGCTTAATTCATGATTTTGTTCTTCTCTAAGTCTGCAGTCTACCTATTCATTCAATTTTGCACTTTTGTCATGTCATGTTTCGTATCTGATTTCATTAAAAGTATGCTCTTTAAATTCTTCAATGAAAACAAAAAAAATAAGAGATCAACTTTTCATACAGCTATCTGTGAATGACTGCAAAAAATATTAACATTAAGAGACAAGAGAAAATGGGATGGATTATAGCAGCCTATCTCTGGGATTTGAACCATTTTTTCTACCTCATGCCCTTCTAGGTCTACATAAAAGCCTTTGTGATTTTCTAGTCACTCTTATTTTATATGAAAGTTTGAAAGTAGTTCTTCATAATCTTGGCTAGCTTTGATATCAAGATGGGTGTTGAAGAGCCAGCAATACAGAACCAAGGAATGTTTTTCTGTCCAGTCTTAGCATATAGCAAAAGAAGTCATGGCATCATGGCAGTACTTAGTAACAAAATGATGATTAACATAGTGTTCTTTCTGTGACTGCTGAAAGAAAGCCCCAAACCCAGGACTGAGATATTACACCATTAAAATAAATTTAACCCATACTACCTCCCACTGAAACAAAGAAAATCAATTAACCAATCAACAGCTGGGTGCCAAGTATACTATATAGAGTGATTACAAGCACTGCGACATTGAAGTGCTTAAAAACTATCACAGTTGGGGAAATAAAACTTACAGATAAGAAATAATTAGAGAACTATACTCAGTACCATTTAATGAATGCTAAATGGGTAATTCAGCTAATAAAAGCAATAGTTTAGAGAAAGGAAAACAATTAGGAAAAAATTCACAAATATGACAGAACTTGAAGTGTGGCTTACAAGATGAATGATTTGGGAAAAGGTACAGAGAATGATTTATAGGCAAGGGAACAGTATTAGGAAAAGCATAGAAAGGATAATGAGCATGGCAGATGTGCAACAATGTATGCTACCAACTTGTCTAATGCAAAACACTGGCTGAGACATGGAGATAAAGACATGGAGATTAGATGAGCTCAGATCATGGAAGGCCTTAAATTGCCTTTCACGGAAAAGAGGAATTTAAACTCTACCATATGTGTGCCACTGTACTCTCTTTAGAAAGAAAACCAAATAGTGTTAACTGATCAATATGGCAGCTCTAGGTGGGACACTGGAGGGTGAGAGATCAGAAAGACCAGGAGGGGATGTCTTGTTAATAACCCAGCTGGAAGAATGTGAGTATTAGAACTAAGGTTACAGCAACGAAACTTGGGAGAAAAAGACATTCAGAGAAAAACTGACAAGGCACAGAAGTCAGGCTAGTATAGGAGATAAGGAGATAGAAATATTGCAAATATAATAAAAATAAAACACACTGGGACTAGACCTTCTCTCTCCAGCCCAAACTCTATTATTTTATATCTTAGAGGCTGAAGCAAAAAATAATATGCTATTCTGGGAAATGGCATTACATAATAAGGCTGTCTTCATTCTGGAGTGAGATGGGGAGGTTTTTTGGTATGTGTTTATTTTTAATCTGTATAATTTTGTCTTTCAGTAAAGAAGGAGAGGTATTATATTTCTAGTTATGAGACCTCTGGCACACAATCCTTCCCAAAAACTCACCATTATCTTGAAATTACAAAACAAATGTCATACTATGAAATAACTTTGTGTCAGTTTTTAAAGTTATGTACAAACATGAACACACACACATCCTACTCACAATAACAATCTGTCTAGGCAGGATGGAGAAGGGTATGCTGAAAGCAATCATATAATAATTGTTATATTTAATAAAAGCTTATGGAGATATAACTCAATATTATAAAATTCATCCTTTCAAAGAGTATAATTCAGTGTTTTTAAAATATATCCAAAGAGCTGTATAACTATCACCACTATCTAATTTTATAACATTTTCAAAATCCCTCAAAAAAACCCTTTACCCAACTGTAGTCACTCCCTATTCACTCCTCCTACCAGCCCCTGGCAATCACTTACCTACTTTCTGTCTCTATCATATGATTATTTTAACAGTAGAAAATCTTTCTTGTTAAAGGTTTGAATAATGGGTTATAACATCATTGTTAATGCTAATTATGGAAGCTGATGCAAACATGTGATATTATAATACTTTCTAATGAAAACACAATCTAACTGAGAGGCATAGAAGCAAACATTTGACTCTTTAAGACCGGGATGGGAAATGTAAGGCAAAGGCCCAACTTCAGCTGCAAAATAAATCACATATTTATCAGGTCACAAAATATATTTTATAAGGTTTACTCAAAAACAAGCCAAAACACTGGGGCAGCCTGGGACTATATAGTTCTCATGTCTAGTAAAATTGTGGCTTCCTGCTAGCCACTGGGAGTTCTAGAATTATACACTGATTGTATCTTAAATGTTTGAAAGCAGGTTGCTGTATCTTTTCAAAGGAATCTTACAAATGACACTTGTAGTTTTGGTGTGGCCAGTAAAACCACAGGTTGTTAGCATCATAAAGCAGCTGACAAATTTCTGCCATACTAATAATTAACTGAAGTAGTAAAATGATATGGAGCAAATAAAATAATAAAACAAAATGGAACATGAATGCTAGCAATTAAGGGTTTAGAGAATGAAGAAATACATGGACTCTTGAGGGGAGATTCTGAAAGGTACCTCTGCACTGTTTCAGTGCTGGGCAACTCAAGGTCTAGCTTCAGTACAGTTCAGAATGAAAGTCGATGAGCTACTTTTCAAAGTATTAAAATTTTAGTGGCTATGAGGCAGGGTCAAATTTCTCCTTGATTTTCTTTAAATCATAATCTATTATGCAAATATTCATTATTTTGTATGGAACCCAAAAATGATTTAAAATTTTTAAAAAGGATTTTTTTTTATTTTTGAGAGACAGTGAGTGTGCATGTGTGTGTGCACATGCAGGGGGAGGGGCCAGGGAGGAGGAGAGAATCTCAAGCAGATTCTTCACTGAGCATGGAGCCTAACACGGGGCTGGATCTCATGATCCTGAGATCATGACCTGAGCTGAAATCAAGAGTCAGATGCTTAACCAACTGATCCACTCAGGTACTCCTAATTTTTAATTTAAAGATATAGCTTAGGTGTCCATTAACAGATGAATGGATAAACGAATCCTGGTATAGTCCTCCCATGGATTACCACTTGGCAATAATGGAAAAACCTATTGATACTGAAACATAAGTGATCTCAAAAACATGACGCTGTGTGAAAGAAGCTAGAGAGTGATTCTGTATGCTTCCATTATGTGGCATTTTAGAATAGGCAAAATTAATCTATAGTGAAATAAAGCAGATCAGTGGTTGCTAGAGGGGGAATCATTGCAGACAGGCACAAGGAGACCTCTTTTTGGGGTCATGAGAGTATTCGTTATGTTGACTAGATTGGTCACAAAGATGTTTATCAAACTATATCCTTAAAATGGCTAAATTTTATGTATACAAATTCAAGGTCAATAAAGTTGATTTATGAAGGAGAAAAAGTAGGTCATAAACATTTAAAATGTTTAACATTAATATTTAATTTAACATTAAATTAAAACTCATGCTAAAAAATTTGGCCAAAGCTACTCAAGAACCTTCAGGATAGTTTTTTAATTCACAAAATGTGATGGGTAGATAGACAAGAGAAAGGTGAGGAGAACTTAGACTGAAAGATGATTTCTTTTTTTTTTTTTTTTTAAAGACTTTATTTATTTATTTGACAGAGAGAGAGAGCACAAGTAGGCAGAGAGGCAGGCAGAGAGAGAGAGAGGAGGAAGCAGGCTCCCTGCTGAGCAGAGAGCCCGATGTGGGGCTCTATCCCAGGACCCTGAGATCATGACCTGAGCCAAAGGCAGAGGCCTAACCCACTGAGCCACCCAGGCGCCCCTGAAAGATGATTTCTTGTGGCATACAGTCCTCTAGGATTGTAAGAAAGGAGGCTAGAGGGTAACAAAGTGAGGTTAAAGAGTTTTTTATAATGGGCAGCCTGGTGATCTGGGGTGCTTTGGTTGATAATATCTTGGTGTCCTAATTGTAGTCTCAAGTCCTAAAAAGAAGACATTTAAAAATATTTAATAACACAAGATGAATGTGTATGTATGTCTCTTCTGTGAATGAATGTTTCTGACCCTCCTGTCCTTCATATGCCCTGAACTTGCCAAGTATACCCCAATTCTAGTAGCTCTGCTCCTGCAATGTTTTCAGTCTGGTATAGGCTCCTCTCAGATACCTGTATAGCTTTCTCCCTCTCCCTAGCCACCTTAGATACAAGCCACTGCCTTCTGTCACTTTATTTTCTCTCCCCTTTTTCTTCACTTAGCTTTATTTTTCTTCATAGCACCTATCACCTCTGACCTATTATTTATTTACCATTTACCTTCCCTACTAAAACACAAGCTTCAGGAGAGCAGAGTCTTTGTTTTGTGCACTGCCGCATCCCTTGTGCCAAGAACAGGGCCTGGACAAGAGTGGTCACTTGAATTTGTTAAAGGAAGGAAGGAAGGAATCGATGTGTGTGATGGTGAGATGGGGGTAAAAGGACCAAGATGGTAAAGTGTCAGAACTTTCAGGGATGGAGAACTGTCAATACAATGATCTTTCCCCAGCATTTTCATGTATCATAGTAATTGCCTTAAAGTTATGGAAGACCTGAGATCATGTTTAGAGTGTAGACAGTAATAGAAACTACCTTGCAGACCCATGTAATGTTTATCACAGGCTTGGCACATAGTAAATGCTCAAGAGTGGTTAGTTATTATTAGCTCTGAAGCAGCAAATGTCATTATTACTACTACAGACAAAATCCACTGACCTTCTCCCCTGGGAAAAGGGGAAAATTAAGAGGGATAAGAGTTTTGAAATAGAAAATAGGACTTTTCCTTTTCTCTTTTGTTAAACTTGGGGGCAGTATCAAAAGTATATTAATTTCTAAAAGTACCATGTAAGTATATGAGGTATTCAGTAAGTGACTGACTGGCTTACTTAGTTTTGTAACAGAAATAAATTAGTCTGAAAACATAGTTTTTCTCAAAGAGCTTAATTAATATTTTCTGTTTACCATTATCGATGCTTTTACAAATATCTCCTATGCCCCCAGTATGATCACGGTGCCAATGAGTCACTATGATTTCCTGGATTGTTGTGTTAAATTCAGTCAGAGCCTGCTTTAAACAGCTGATATATTCTGGAATTGCTGGTTCTCCAGTGTCAATGAGGATTCTCCTGAAAATTAAATGGACGATAATCACACAATTGGAACACAGAATTAATAGAAGCATATTTCTCACACAGATAATTCCTATTACATTTAAGAAACTGCTTAAATTGCTTGGCTTTCAACCTGCTTGAAAACCAGCTATATGATATTGTGCCCTAACTATTGTAATCTCACTGTAAGAAAAGTTCTCTGAAAAAATCTTAGAGCTCCATATAAGTCTGAACTTGGCAAGTTCTAGGCACAATAATATTGAATACTTACATACCACTTAAATATGGCACTACTCCAAAGACCTTACAAATTCTAATTGTGTTATTCATCACAATTATTTAAAGGAGGTATTTTATTATATAACTTGCCCAAGGTTACTCTGCAAATAAATGGCAAAGCTAGCATTCAAACCTGGGTATTCTGTCTCCAGAATATGTGCTTTTATCCACTCTGGCTTTGAGATCTTTTACAACGTATTCAGACGTCTCATGGATATGAAAGAATTAGATTCAGAGGTATTCCTCAAGAAACCTAGTCTTCTGCACTACATGCAAAACTTATCATTAAAGTTTTACACTGGCTTCCTTCCACATGAAAATGAAAGGAATAGGGAAGCACGGGGAGATGTCTGAGTTGCTTTCTTTCTTTACCTAAACAACCCTATCAGTTATATTTTTCTGCTTGTGGTTCTAAACCTTCTTTATACTGTTTGCCCTTCCTCACCATTTCATGGGATGATGGTCTTTCTCTATAAAATTTTCCTGATTTTACATATATGTAAATAATATATATATAAATATGTATATAAATATAACATATATATATGTGTATATATATATAAGCAGGACATCTTCCTCCTCAAGAACCAACTCATAAATTTTTTAATTCATGCCACTTCACAATAGTACCTCCCTAATTCAGGTTGGGGGAGAGAAGGTTAGTCTTGATGAGAAGTCTCAGTCATTCACTCATTAATACATTATTAACTATAAATTATCTACTATGTGCCATGCCTTTCTTGCAAGACAAAAAATCCTGTTTGCATTCTAGTGGAAAGTGGGAAGAAGAAGCTATGAGAACAAAGAGTAACAGTGACAGATAAACAACATTCTGCAGAACATTCAAATGGGGTAAATATGACCTGAAGTATCTGGATGGCTATTTTATATGGGATGGTTTGTTTCCCTAACCCTGTTCCCTGAGATGCACAGCCAAAAAAAACAAACTCTCCTCCAATGGGGGAGGGGTCAGGGGTGGAGGTGGGGACAATGGCCTTGTTATCCACAGGCTTTTATCTACACCTTAAGTTCCATAGAGCAATGGCTCTACTTTACAAGTACATAGAGTTATAACTGCTCCTTCTGGAGAAAGGGAGACTAGATGGATATACTGGCCCACAAATACATTATGAGGTTCTGTAGGCAGTGGAAATATATGGAGGTGGTAGTTAAAAAACATTTAGGAGGCACAATCAACAGGATTTTTTTTTAAACAACTGGATTTGGCATGGAAAGGGAAAAAAATAATGATTTTGAGGTTTCTAGGTAAGATGATTGGTGTGTGATTAATGAAGACTATAAACACTGGAGGGAGCAAATTTGAGATAAATATGGTTTGGGTTATGATGAATTTTGGTGACGCTGCCAGCCATCTTTCCTTGCTTTTTCTTCATAGCACTTATTACCATGTGACATATTATATATTTACTTGTTTACTAATTTTGCCTATCTCCACACCTTCCCACAGCCTACAAATTTAAGTTCCATGAGGGGAGGAACCTGGTCTGATTTTGCCAGGATCTAGATGGTGGCATGAACTTGATAGTAAATGTTTGTTGGATGAATAAATAAGGTAGCGGCTTTCTTTCATTTTATTTAATCATCAAAACAATCCCAAAATTTTACTCTCATTGTACAGATGAGGAAACTGAGGCCTTGACATGTCAGACATATATGTAATATTGTAACTTGCCTAGACTCACGAATTCCAGCACAGGATATATTTGAACCCACACCTTTCTAACTGCAATGCCCATTTTCTTTGGATAGGGGGAATACTTCAGTAGGTTTTGATGGACAACTTTAGGTAATGGGTTCTTAACCTTTTTGATGTTTTGGGCCCCTCTGGCAGTGTGGCCCATGGACTAGTCTCAGAATAATTTTTTTTGGAGTGTATAAAATAAAACATGTAAGATTACAAAATAAATCAATTCTATTGAAATAGTTATCAAAATTAAAAAAAATTATGCTATAGTGTTACATGTGCTTCTTTACTACCATATAAAGTAACAAGATCAGCATCAAAGCTTAGAATAATTATAACTTCTTTTCTTTTTTTCTTTTTTAAAAAGATTTTATTTATTGTTGAGAGAGAGAGAAGGAGTGCGTGTGCATGCACCAAAAGTAGGCAGAGCAGCAGGCAGAGGGAGAGGGAGAAGTAGACTCCCCGCTGAGCTGAGCAGGGAGCCCAGCAGACGCTTAACCATTGAGCCACCCAGGTGCCCCAATGATCATAATTTCTAAATGGAGATGAATACACATGCAATTTTGAAGTATCTATCATGACTATAATATGCAATGAAAATATTAGAGAAAAAAATCATAGGTACTGCTACTACCACTATGGTTTGTTGTCCATATTCATAATTGAATAAAGGCTAATTTTCAGTCTGAGGAATTTTAATAATGGCATAATTCTGCTTCTCCCCACCCCACCCTGCTAAGGTGAGACTCCCTGAACTATATTGTTTTTAGGACCATAGAGTTTCGATTAAGAACCCCTGATTCTGGTAGAGGAGGAAGAGAAGAGAAGAGTAACTCAGGTCTGAGTTACTATGAATGAATTATTGTTTGTTGATGTAACCCTAGTAATCTAGAACAGTCCTGGCCCCAAAGTAAGCACTCAATATATATGTGTTGAATAAGTTTAGTTCAAATTCTAATGAATGATTACCATGTACAAGATACTGTGTTATGTTCATTATAAGATGCAAATCATTAGGTATTTTCTGAGCACCTACCATGAACCTAGTGTTGTCTGGATGTTATGATGGAAGAAGTGATAATAGTAACTAACATAATAGTATGCTTTCCATATGCTAGGATTTGTTAAGTGCTTTTGATTAGATTTTTCATTTAAATTTCACTGAATCTTCATAACATCCTTTGAGGTGGATGCTATTCAATTCTCAGTGTACAGATAAAGAACCTGAAGCTTAGAGAATCAACTACCTTGTCTGAAGTCATAAACTAGGGTTTGGATTTAGGTGACAAGAGTAGAGAGTCTTAACTCTAATTACTACATTAGATTGCCTTTCCCTATTAAAAGATAAACTATTTGCCCTCCAGGGAGTTACAGTTTTGGTAATAAAGGTTAAAACTGCACCTTTTAGAGTTTCTTGAGCAGAAGAGGAACATGGAAATACTCTTCAGAAGATCTGGCTATTATTTATCCATTCAAATGTTACTGAGTACCTATACACTAGGCATCACACTAGGTTTAGTAATGCTTTAGGGAAAATTCATTTGAAACCCAAATGAATTTCATTTGGAAATTCATTTGGTATTCCCTAAATTCATTTAGGGAAATTCATTTGACATGAAGGAAGTTGGTAAGATCACGTAGGTAGGGAATATAGATGAGAACAGGAGAGACTATTACATCTTAAGGAACTCACACACTTAAAGATCTGGTAAAGAGGTGGAGTCCATGAAGGAGATTGAGAAAGAACAGCCAGAGAGGTAAAAGGAAACCAGGAGAATGTGCCATTAGCAAATCAAGGAGGGAATGGTCAAGTGTCAAAAGATACTGAAGTTCGAATAAAATGGGAATGGAAAAATGCCATTGGATTTGGTGATATAGGAGCCACCTGTGATCTTAGAACAGTTTTGTGCAGACAGGTGGATACCAATATCTGAACCTCTTTCTCAACCCAATTAGTATTCATTGCTTGCCACCTGACTTCTACTTTATACGGTAGAGTAGCATTATCTACACACTAACTTATTCTAGCGCGACTATATGGATTCATCATATATGTATCACATATGAGTGATTCCACTGGCCATTCCACCCCATGACTTTATGTGAGTAGTAGTGGAAGCAATGTAAAGTGGGAGACCATGAATGTCTTCTCTCAGTTACTTTCAGGTTATTTATGTCTCTTTTTAGCACAAGTACTTTGCTACACTGAATGTGGTTCTAGTGTTTAAAGATAACAGTATGTATTTTTCACACAACATGGCCCCCAAACGCAAGCCAACTTCTTCATCTGGTTTTCAAACAGAACCAGCCATCTGCTTTATTGCTGGAAGAAAAAGCAGGTTGCACCAAACTTATTGTGATCGTACATGATCTCTAACACAGTGCCTCCTAAGAGACTTTTTAGGGCAATTTTGACTTTAGTCAATTTTTAGAATAGGTACTGATGTTAGAACTAGTTTAACATGACACACTGAAGAGAGAAGAGAATGCCTATGGACTTCTGGGGTGAGGGAGTCCCAGACAAGACAGACTCTACTCTAAAGTGTTTTTTTCCACTGAATTCTCTATCGTCCTAGATTCTGGAGGCTGCCTAAAGCTCCTGTACCTACTGGACCCTGCCTTGTTTCTTCTGAACCTAACTTCTGCCTGTCTGACTTCAGTACTTCTAGTTCCTTCATTCTGCTCCATCTAAAATTCTGATTTACTGGAAAAAGGCAAATCCAGCAGATACTTCAAGTGGAAACTCCAACTACTATTAAACTGTTTTTTAGAAATCAGTTATGTTAATTTTAACACATCTTGAAATATACAATTAAATTCTATGCTTAAGGGGAACGGTATTTTATTTTTATTTTGTATTACCTAGGGCATACTAAAGTCGAAGCATATAAAATTTTGTTCATGCACCTTTGTGGAGTACACCGTTTCTCACCACTTAGGCAAAATTACACTAAAACAATGCAGCTGAACAAGAGAAGAATCTTAGAAATACATATAGGTTATTCCATATGCAAAGTAACTTAAATGAGGCTACACAATAGTAACGAAAACCAAAATCAGTCTGCTCCTCTTTCCCAAGAACTACGGGGCTCCTTGGTGTTTCAGACTCCAGCAATTTGGAAGCATGAAAATCCTGCCCTCTGCCGCTTAGTTAAGAAAAAGGCCTCAGCACAATTAATTACTTTTGTGAAGGCCAAGTTATACTCTTGAGCAAAACACTAGTGAAAAGTCAGAAGGTGAGCAAAGTAAATGCTTTCTTGGATTTTTAACTCCAGGCGATCCTAATTTCTCAACAGCTTAAACACTCACCCTGGCATTCAACATTAGGCAAAGCCCATTGGGTTTCAAAAGCAGGTAGTTTTGATTTTTCTCACTATTTCACCCTCATTAGTCATTTCTGAGGTAGGTTACCAGCCGGTATTGCAGTGATTTGGGGGAGGCCTGGGATGGGGGCGTCGGAAGGTGGTCCTGGGTGCGCCGCTGCCTGGACCGGACTGGACACTGAGCTCCAGGTTGCAGGGGCGCACAGCCTCTCCGCCTTCGCCGAGCAGGCGTCCCAGCCCCAGCTCTGGGCGTCCCGCAGGCCGGGACGTTTGTTAAAGAGGAATAGGGACGTTTACCTGGTGCCGATCCCTACCAAGTAGGTGTTGGTGCCCTGTAGGGTCATGGGTCCCGGGTTACAGCCCAGGATGCGCACCACCCGGCGGGAGAGGCGCTCGATGCGCTGCAAAACAGCCGACATGACCGCTGCTGCAGCCCCGGGCTGCGCAACTACTCGAACGCGGAAGCGGCTACTAGGCCAACGCCGGGGAGGAGGTAGGGCGGGGCCAGCAGTCGCCTGACGTAGCGCGAGAGAGCGGAGGGGAAATCGCCAGCTGTGCTGGGGGCGGGGCCAGAGGTCACCTGACGCCGCCCGGGCTCCGTAGGCGGAGGCGGGAGCGTAGGCTAGGGCGCGAGGCGTGAGGTTTCTCGAGGCGAGGTTGTGTTCGGCTGGCCGCGCGCCGTTTCCTGTTACAACGTGGTGATTTCACAGCAATTTGTGGCGTTCATCCCAGTGGACGAGAGATATTTTAACCTGGGAAGCCTTGTGGAGCACAGGGCAGGCCGATTTGGGGTTAGTTGCGGAGCACTATATTCTGGGAAGGTGGGCTTCTTATTTTCAGGCAATGGCGATGTGTGTGTTTTGTGTGTGAGGTAAGAAACCTGTTTGCTTTTTATAATAAATAGGGGCAACTAGTATTTACTTAGTGCTTACTGCTATGCTAAGTGCTTTTTCTAAACACTATCTCATTGAATTCTCCTAAGGACACGAGGAGGAAGGCACTATTTTTATGTTTGTTCTACAAATGAAACGGGGATTTGGAGACTTGGCCGGGTGCCAGCTGTCTGAACCCAGCTCAGGGTCTGAAGCCTTGTTCCTGGCTGTCTTGCCCCAACACTTGCCCCCTCTGTTAGATTCAAGGAGCTTGGCGCGCTCTCCTTGTGCTGTGTTCCTACCCAGACACCTAGCTCGGCCTTGAGTTTCGTCCCATTTTCGCCCTTTTCTAATCTGCTAAGCATGGGCTATCCCAGTATTAACCACCCCTTCCTATTAAAAAAAATTGAGTTACGATTTACCTAAAAGGAAATGCGCAGATTCTACAGTCCGTTGCATTGAGTTATGATAGTTGTATGTAAGCTACCGCAAAAGAGATACATACCTCTGTCCCATATCCACTGTCCCGACTTGTCTTTTTCAAAACACGTAGGAGAGCGACACATTAGGTGCTTGTGGTTATAAGATTTAGGAAACACAATTTAACACTTTTTTTTGCAGGTGTTTCTGAAGAAGAGACTACTATTTTACAGTATTTGTTTTACAAATCGTTAGTTTAATATTCTGGATTTCTTGAAAGACACACCTGTTTTATGGGTGACAAATTTCTTTGCTGTGTGTCTCAAAGATGTACTTGTAATGGAAAAGTGTTTCAAAAACCTTTGCTGAAAGGGCAATATGTCCTTTAAAAAAATGTTTGGAAGAACCATCAAAATTCCCCACATCAGTTACTTTCAGCTCCCCAGTTTTATTTATTTGTAGTCTCTTAATGGCTATTCAGTCTGGAAGCTACCTCCATTTTCTCTTTTGAAAAACCTTGTGCTGGAAATTCAACAAACCTTTGAGAAGAGGGTGGAACAGCAATTTCTGGGACTGGTGGGCAGTTCCATTTTTTTATCCCTTGGCTTTTTGTTTTAAAATAGAATTTCCCTTGTGGCTTCCATCTCTATTTCTTTCAATTCATTGCCAAGGTCTTCCATCTGCCAAATGGACTTAAATAATTTAAAACTCAAGTGACTTCAGTTGAGTCATACAAGGAGCTACCAGCTGAAGAGGGGGAATAGAGTTTGGGTAGTTAACTTGGTTTAGACAAATTAAAATTGGCATGATTGTGGGATATCCTGGTAAAGAAATCTATAGACTGTTGGGTAAATATGGGTTGAACTTAGAAGAGAGATCTAGGCTGCTACTACAAAATTGTCTTTGTAGATATGTTTAGTATGTGACTTGAAGTTTAAGCTCTTCTCCAAGAAATAACAATGATTTGGGGCAAACTTCCTGGGTCCCTGCCCACTTCAGGAGCATTGTACCCAATAAAACTCAATAAACTTTGCTTTCCTGCCCACCAAAAAACATAACAAAACAAAAAACCCAAGGATTTTATATTCTGTTCAGTTACATTTATTATTATTTATCATCTACCTACAGTATGCATAGTATTGTAGACATATGGGGGGGGTGTTAAAATTATAGTTGGCTTTCTAGAGGCTTATTACCAGGAAGGAGACATACATTATCTTATTTTAAAGCATATCTGAGTAAATCCTAGAGAAGTATAGTTGAAGTGATAGGATTGCAAGGAGGAAGAGGGAGAATCAAATTGATTGGGAAAGCTTAAAGGTGGTAGGGTTTTGAGCTGATCCTTAAAGGACTGATATAACCTCATCAGGTAGATGGAGGTAGGAAAGGCATTCTAGACAGTAAATAATCTTGAGAAAAGGCTTGGAACTAGAACAACTGTAGTATTTATTTTGGGAAACCAACAATCATGTCCTTGGGACAGGTTTTAAGGTGTACAGTTTGAAAAAGGTAAGACTAAGTTAAAAAAATACTTTGTGAATTCTTTATCAGAGTACTTCAAATGTGAGAATCTCTCTCCTTCCTTTTCAAACACTTGTCGTCTACTTGGATATTCTGTGAGGTAAATTGTATTTTCTTAAAACTTAAATTTTGAATATAGTAAAACCTTGTAACCTAGTCAGCCTGTGAGAGGAGCCATGTTATTCTTTCTCCCAATGTCACAATTATAAAGGGGTATACTGTAGTTGCAATGATACAAACTCTTTTATCACTAGATGAAAAAATCCCACATATGACTAACAGATGACTTCAGTTTCATTTTAGTATTCATGCTGAAAGGTTTACACGCCCTTTAATGGTACTCGTTTTCAGTGAACAAGAAATAAGATTCCCATGATGAAGATTTTCCAGGAGAGACTTTGAGTTAAAGAAGGCTTTTTATACTTGACAAGTAAGTCTCTATTTTATATGTGTTGAATTTGGCTGACAAATGAAAGTTTGCTAGTTTTTACTTCTTCAAACATGTGTTATTACAAAGAGATCATGTACAGTGAGCAAAGGTCATGTATTTTGGCTGGCAGCCAGTTAGCCACATAGCTGAGTTGACCTCTGAATGAAATTGGATTGAAACTGTTCTATTAAGTTAGCAAGTGTCACGAATTCTCTGTAAAGTCAAATTTTATAGGTGGTATTATTTCTCCTAAGGTAATAATTGGAAAAAGTGATTAACTGTAGGGATAGAGATGAACTAGCCTTCATACAAGTTAAGTCACTATGTGGTTATTGAAGGAGGTGTGGGCTTTCTTTATGAGAGCTGCTATATTTATTTCCTTGCTTTGTAGTTTTCTTTTTGGTTGGCATTATGTTCTGCCTGATTAAATTAGGAATAGAGACGTTGCCATGTCACATTAGTCTGTTGAAAATGTTTTGCTAATAATGGAGTTTCTATGTTTCTTAGTATTTTTCTTGTCTTGTAAAATTTATTTCAAAACTGCTAGTATTTTCCATATCCATAGCTGGGTAAAGGAAACTCTCTTTGTGGGGAGAGTGGTTAAGAAATGTACATGTGGAATGCTTAGGTATTAAAATCTGTAATGTTAAGGAAATTATCTATATTAAAATGATTTACTCATTAGAGATAACTCATCTAAACTCATCTCTAAGTCTCAGTGTTTTGAACAATAATACTCTTCCCAAAGAGATTTGTGAGTATTAAAGTAAATGTATGTATAGTACTCCACACACAGAGTAGATACTGAGTGATGATAGCTACTGTTATTACTATTTTTCCATTATATATGTGATGTTCTTTTCCTCCCTACGTAGTGAAGCTTAAGAAGTTACATTTTTTAGAATATTAGAGCAGGACTGGATGCACATTAAACACATCCAGTATAACCATGGTAAGGAATTTGCCAATATTTTGTGGAACTTTTGTTTCTGGAGGACATATTTGAAGTCTGGTACATTAGATTTTCAAACTAGATGTTCTTTTCATCTGGAACACTTTTCCACGTGATATTCACATGACTAATTTTGCTACTTACATGCCATCTTCTCCATGAAGCCTGTCCTGACCATTCAAGACCTGAGCTGAGATCAGGAGCCAGACACTTAACTGACTAAGCCACCCAGGTACTCTCTGTCCTGACCATTCTAATTAAAATTGCAACTCATGATGTGCCCATCTCTACTTCCAACACCAAGGTTTGTGTTTTTTCCATAGCACTTATCACCTTCCAATATAATATTCAATTCATTTATTTATTTAATAACTATTTTATTATTTTTATTGTTAATTGACTATCATTCTCCGTTCAGATGTAAATTCCACAAGGGCAGGGATTTTTTGTTTCTTTTGTCATTTGCTATATCCCCAAAGCCTAGAACAGCTCATGGTAGGTTCTGAGTAAGTATCTTCAGTTGAACAGAACCTTCTGATTAGATCTCATCCTTCTAAACTCCATACTTATGTCTTTCATTTTAAGATAAGAAACTTACCACATGGAAATTCATGGCCTGCTCGTTTGGGAAAACTCAGATTTTAAAATTATTGTTTTCCATCCTATTGGCCACAGCATTCTTATCAGGGAAACTAGTGATAGTGATTTTTTTTTTTCATTATGAAGAGTGAAATACCTTTTAGTTTTATTTTGAAAACTTTAAACAAAATCTTATAAGTGGTAAAATGATAAGAACACTAAGTATTAGCTGGTGTGTGTTTTCAGTAACATTTTCACCTCCTGGTTTTTAAAGTGATAAGCATTCTTTATAGAACATGTAGGGTGTTAGTCTACTTGGGCTGCCCTAACAGAATAACTACAGACTTTGTGACTTAAACAACAGACATTTATTTTTTCACAGTTCTGGAGACTAGGAGTCCAGTATCAAGGTGCCAACAGGGTTGGTTTCTTGTGAGGCCTCTCACTTCGGGTTGCAGATGATTGCTTCGTAGCTGCATACTCATGTGGCCTTTCCTGTGTGGGTATGGGAGTGGAGTGTGTGTAGGGGGGAGGTCTCTATTGTCTCTTCTTTTTATAAGGACATCAGCCCTATTGGATGAGGGCCCTGTCCTTATTACTCCTTTTAATCTCAATTACCTCCTTAGAGGCCCATCTCTAAGTACAGTCACATTGGTGGTTAGTATTTTGTAAGAACTTTGGAGGGAAACCAATTCAGTTCATACATATAGAAAAGAATAAGAAGAGGAAAAAAATTCATTTATAATACCATTATTCCCCAGGTTAAACTACTGTTAACATTTTTGTATTCCTCCAGTCATTTTTTTTTTTGTATTTTCAAAGCTTTGCAATCATGCCATAGTATTTTTTTTTTTTAACTTAACATTCTTTAATGTGAAGTCAAAGTTTGCAAACTCAAATGCTTATAGGGATCAGGCAGGCAAGGTAATAATGGTAACCAACATTTATTGAGTTCTGTTTGCCAAGTACTTTCCTAGAAATTTATATGTATTATATATGTCCTCTTTCTTAGTCTTCACCACAACCCTATGATCTATATGCCATTATTTTTTCCATATTTCAAGTGAAAGAAAATAAGGCACAGGGAGGTAAAAGAACTGTTTGAGGACACAGCTAGTAGGTAGCTTTATTGTCATTGAGACCCAGCTGCTGAAATGACTGAAATGGGGTGGTGGGCTACTGTAGTGAACTTGAGAGAACATGCCCCATCTAGGGCATCCACAGCTCATGAAGAAAGGTCCGTCTATTGTAAAAGATCTTTCAGTTTTTTGATAGCAGTGAAAAATCTGTATTTTTACATGAAACATTGGCAATTAGGAAAGTTAAAAAAACATTGTTGAATAGAACTTTTTTTTAGCTTTGAGACATTTTATTATAAAAAACTAGTGTTTCTAAACATAAACCAGTAAGAACTTAAAACTCATTGCACTTTTTTCTTTTTAGATTTTATTTATTTAAAAAACTCATTGCACTTTTACTTCACTTTTTATCTTGACCTTTAGCTTCATTGATTTTTCCTGCTGTATAAGGAGATCCTCCCTTGTTAGGGTGATTAAAAAGCACAATTTGTAGAAGAGCATCTCTTTTCCATTATTGGTAGTAGAGCTTACACCTGCTGTTAATGCTGCCTCTTGTTTTGGCACTTTGTGTTCAAACCCACTTCTGTAATAGCTGCCACTGAAGGTAGATTTTGGTAGACTTTGAAAACTTGTTTTGTTTGAAGCTCTATATGCTTCATGGCTTGTAAAACATAAAAGCCTGCAAATCCTGCAGCAGTAATGGTCAGTCCATTTGCTACTACTACACTGCCCATAGCTCTGGCTTGGTGCCCCTGCATCCACCGAGAGGTTTATCCCAGCCCAGAGGCTGCAGCCATCAATTCCATGCCTCTACCAGAAAGCACCACCGGCAGTTACAAAGGGCCCAGACACAAGTACCCCAGGAAATATGGGAGCAGCTGCCAAGTCAGACAGATTTTGTCTGTAGATTGCATTCAGCCCACATTTATAAAATCGGGGTCATAATAGTAATACCTGTCTCCAAATTTTGATGTAAGATTTTAAATGGGGGATTCTATGTATAAGGTTTAGTTTAATACCTGGCACATAGTGCTAAGTAAATGTTAGCTAACATTTGTCCAGTCATTGGAATTCTTTAAAAGTATCATTTACTATTGTTTTTATTTTAAGAGATTATGTAAGTAATATATGTAAATGTCTTTTATAAAAAATTTCAACAATATAAAAGAATAATTAATTATAGGATTGAAGTTGCATTTGCTTTCCACTCCCAACTTCCTTCCTCTCTCTGTATATAATTAAAAACCCATAAATGCTATATTTATCTTTCTGGCTTTTTTTTTTTTTTCTTCACTTATATGTCTTGGGAGATCTTCTGAGGCCAGTTTATACAAAACGTCTTCATTCTTTTTAAAGGTTGTGTGGTGTATTCTTTACTCTGGTGTACCATAATTTATTGAACTAGATCTCATTTGTTATTTAGGCAGTTTTCAACCTTTGGCTATTATAAAGAAGGTTTTGCAAATAGTATATATATTTGTGCACATTTGTGACATTTTTCCTAGGCTTGACTCTTAGATGGAATTGCTGAATCAAAACCATATTAACTTAATATAGAGAACACACTGATGGTTACTGGAGGGAAGGTGGCTGGTGGGTGGGTGAAATAGGTAATGGGGATTGAAGAGTGCACTGTGATGAGCACTGGTTGTTGTATGGAGTTGCTGAATCACTATATTGTACACCTGAAACTAATTTCACACTGTATGTTAACTGGAATTAAAATTTAAAAACTATATTAAGAATTTTTACAGCTATTGCACCTTTGTTAAATATTTTTTTAATTTATTTAAAGATTTTTATTTATTTATTTGACACAGACAGAGAGAGATCACAAATAGGCAGAGAGGCAGGCAGAGAGAGAGGAGGAAGCAGGCTCCCCATTGAGCAGAGAGCCCAATGTGGGGCTCGATCCCAGGACCCTGAGATCATGACCTGAGCTGAAGGCAGAGGCTTAACCCACTGAGCCACCCAGGCACCCCGTGTTAAATATTTTTTAGTAGCTTTGTAGTATTCCATTTTGAGAATCTACCATTATTTACTGATTTCGTATGTTGACACAGTTAGATTGTTTCTAATTTTTTGCCACTATAGATGGACCTGTGATAAATATCTTTGTTAGCAGGTTATGGTTTTTAAAAGGTAAGTAGTCAGGAAGTTTTCAACTAATAAGTGTATTTCTGAGGCTTTTCTTTCCCAAAACTATTATAAGAACCATATTTAGTCATAATTTATTGTTTCTAGAAAAATAGAGGTTTGATAAAATCATGGCCTAGGGTTTTTAATATTACAGTCAAGATTTTTAGAATCTTTTATATATGTTTCATTTTAGGTGTTGTCATCTGTAATGAAGATCACTGAAAAACAGAAGATTGAATAAAACCTTGTAACGTTGGACCTGGATAGGACATTTAGAAAAGAAAATTACTCACGTTGGTTTTAGTGTTTCAATTTCATAATATTTATTCTTTTGAATAAATTTAAGGAGCTGAAATTAAAATTCAGTGCTATACTAACAGATGCACTAATACTTTTTTCTTTTTTTTTTTTTTTGTATGAGAGAAGAAAATAGATAACCAAGAGCTCTAGTGATTCATAATGAAATACACTAAATTGCACTTTATGTTGTCAGTTCTTGGCATTATAATCTATATAACTGATTTAATTGTGGACATTTGGGTATCTGTCAGGTTTTTCTATGAAGGACGAAATGTTTTTGGTGTTTTAACAGTAAGCTTTATGCTCTTTGGAACACTTGTGGTGCAGTGTTTTAGTTACTCTTGGTTCAAGGCTGATTTAAAGAAAGCAGGCCAAGAAAGTCAGCACTGTTTTCTTCTACTTCATTGCTTGCAAGGAGGAGTTTTTACAAGGTGAGCATACACTTTTGATTATTAACATTATTTTTCTTTTATGTAAAAAGAAACTACCTTTCTGTGTTTGGGTAGTCAAATGTACAAAGTTCCCCTACTTGCATGTAGCACAAAGGTCACTTGCTCCTCACTATCAGTGGTTATATGAGTCATTGCTACTGTTAGAATTTTCTAGGTTCATTAATAGAATGTTTTAATTTACCTTGGGACACCTGGGTGGCTCAGTTGGTTAAGCATTCGGCTCTTGATTTCTGTTCCAGTCATGATCTCAGGGTTGTGGGATCCAGTCCTGCGTCAGGCTTGGTTTAGCGTGGCATCTGCTGCTCTCCCGTCTCCTCGCCGCCTTCCCCTGCTTGTGTACGTGCGCACATGAGCGTGTGTGTGTGCACGTGCGTGTGTGTTCTCTCTCTCAAAATCTTAAGGGATGTTTTCTTAAATTTCAATTCAATTGATATATAGTGTATTATTAGTTTCAGAGGTAGAGTTCAGTGATTCATCAGTCTTATATAATACCCAGTGCTCATTACGTCATGTGTCCTCCTTAATGTCCATCACCCCGTTACCCTATTCCCTCAGCCCCCTTCCCTCCAGCAACCCTCAGTTTGTTTCCTATGGTTAAGAGCCTCTTATGGTTTGTCTCCCTCTCTGACTTTGTCTTGTTTTATTCTTCCCTCCTCTCCCCCCACAATCCTGTTTTTTTTCCTCTTAAATTTCAAATATGAGTGAGATCATGTGATTATTGTATTTCTCTGATTGACTTATTTTGCTTGGCATAATACTGTCTGATACCAGCCACGTTGCTGCAAATGGCAAGATTTAATTTTTTGATGGCTGAGTAATATTCATATATATCTATATCTGTATCTATGTATCTATACAAGTGTGTGTATATATATATATATATATATATATATACACACACACATACCACATCTTCTTTCTTTATTCATCTGTTGATGGACATTTGGGCTCTTTATATAGTTTGGCTATTGTGGACATTGCTGCTGTAAACATTGGGGTGCACGTGCCCCTTCAAATTAAGTTACTTTTTCTGGTATGTACTCACTTTTTGTGGGGGGATGACTCATTTCTGTGTTTTATGAATCTTTTATCTTCTATTTTGTATTCCAATCCTGATTATATAAATATAGTTTATCACATGCAACTGTGTTAGATCACTTCATTTTTTAAGTTTCTTATACCACTGATTTCACGGTATGAAATTTTTATTATAATAATTGCAGTAGCCATATGGTTAATTAGGTACAGAATCATATGTAGAACTAAAAATAACTTTAAGAATCATCTTGTTTGAGGACGCCTGAATGGCTTAGTTGTTAAGCATCTGCCTTCAGCTCAGCTTATGATCCCAGGGTCCTGGGATTGAGTCCCATGTCGGGCTCCTTGTTCAGCAGGGAGCCTGCTTCTCCCTCTGCTTGCTGCTCCCCCTGCTTGTGTTCTCTCTTTTTCTCCCTCTCTCTCTGACAGATAAATAAAATATTAAAAAAAAAAAGAATTATCTTGTTCATCTTATTTTATAGTTAAATTAGGAATCTAAATAAGTCCTGAGAATTCTATGATTTTCCATATGTCTAATTTCATTTGACCTTTTCATTATTATCTTAAGGCATTTAATTCTGTTAAAAGCAATATATATGTAATAGATAAAGAGAAAAATAAAGACAAATATTAGATAGATAATATTTTTTTTGTTACAATTAGATTTTGAATTTGGGCTATTTTAACTACCGTCTTCAGAGATATTTTAGTGACTAGAATTCTAACATGTAGTTATTTTGTCTCTGCATATTATAGTCTTTGCATATAAATCTCTTGGTTTCTGTTGTTGCGTTTCAGGAATTAGATATCGGTTTTACTGCTGTTCTTTTGTTTTTTAAAAAAATTTAAAAATGTTACTTTTTTAAAAAGATTATTAGAGAGAGAGAGTGAGAGATCATGAGCAAGAGGGAAGGGTAGAGGGAGAAGACGATCCCTGCTGAACAGGGAGCCCAGAGCGGGACTTGGCCCCAGGATCCTGGGATCATGATCTGAACTAAAGGCAGATGCTTAACCAACTGAGTCACCCAGGTGGCCACTGCTATTCTTTAAAAAGTATTTTATCTTTTTGGGTTTATACAGTTTCCGATATATCTAGGTATAGATTTTTTTTTTCCGCTTGGGATTTGCTGGCCTTCTTAATTCTGTGGATTATTATCTTCCATCAGTCTTGCATAATTCTCAGCCATTATCTTTTCTAATGTTTTCTGTACTACATTTCCTTCTGGGACTCCAAGCAAATGTAAGTTAGATCTCACACTATCTAATATGAGTGTTGCATGTTAGTTGTTTTGAATTTTTTTTTTTTTAATTTTATTTTTTATAAACATATTTTTTTTTTCCCCCAGGGGTACAAGTCTGTGAATCTCCAGGTTTACACACTTCACAGCACTCACCATAGCACATACCCTACCCAATGTCCATAACCCCACCCCCCTCTCCCAACCCCCCTCCCCCCAGCAACCCTCAGTTTGTTTTGTGAGATTAAGAGTCACTTATGGTTTGTCTCCCTCCCAATCCCAACTTGTTTCATTTACTCTTCTCCTACCCCATTAAGCCCCCATGTTGCATCTCCTCTCCCTCATATCAGGGAGATCATATGATAGTTGTCTTTCTCCGCTTGACTTATTTCGCTAAGCATGATACCCTCTAGTTCCATCCACGTTGTCGCAAATGGCAAGATTTCATTTCTTTTGATGGCTGCATAGTATTCCATTGTGTATATATACCACATCTTCTTTATCCATTCGTCTGTTGATGGACATCTAGGTTCTTTCCATAGTTTGGCTATTGTAGACATTGCTGCTATAAACATTCGGGTGCACGTGCCCCTTCGGATCACTACGTTTGTATCTTTAGGGTAAATACCCAGCAGTGCAATTGCTGGGTCATAGGGTAGTTCTATTTTCAACATTTTGAGGAACCTCCATGCTGTTTTCCAGAGTGGTTGCACCAGCTTGCATTCCCACCAACAGTGTAGGAGGGTTCCCCTTTCTCCGCATCCTCGCCAGCATCTGTCATTTCCGGACTTGTTAATTTTAGCCATTCTGACTGGTGTGAGGTAATATCTCATTGTGGTTTTGATTTGTATTTCCCTGATGCCGAGTGATATGGAGCACTTTTTCATGTGTCTGTTGGCCATCTGGATGTCTTCTTTGCAGAAATGTCTGTTCATGTCTTCTGCCCATTTCCTGATTGGATTATTTGTTCTTTGGGTGTTGAATTTGCTAAGTTCTTTATAGATTCTGGACACTAGCCCTTTATCTGATATGTCGTTTGCAAATACCTTCTCCCATTCTGTCAGTTGTCTTTTGGTTTTGTGAACTGTTTCCTTTGCTGTGCAAAAGCTTTTGATCTTGATAAAATCCCAATAGTTCATTTTTGCCCTTGCTTCCCTTGCCTTTGGCGATGTTCCTAGGAAGATGTTGCTGTGGCTGAGGTCGAAGAGGTTGCTGCCTGTGTTCTCCTCAAGGATGTTGATGGATTCCTTTCTCACATTGAGGTCCTTCATCCATTTTGAGTCTATTTTCGTGTGTGGTGTAAGGAAATGATCCAATTTCATTTTTCTGCATGTGGCTGTCCAATTTTCCCAACACCATTTATTGAAGAGGCTGTCTTTTTTCCATTGGACATTCTTTCCTGCTTTGTCGAAGATTAGTTGACCATAGAGTTGAGGGTCTATTTTCTGGGCTCTCTATTCTGTTCCATTGATCTATGTGTCTGTTTTTGTGCCAGTACCATGCTGTCTTGATGATGACAGCTTTGTAATAGAGCTTGAAGTCCGGAATTGTGATGACACCAACTTTGGCTTTCTTTTTCAATATTCCTTTGGCTATTCGCGGTCTTTTCTGGTTCCATATAAATTTTAGGATAATTTGTTCCATTTCTTTGAAAAAAATGGATGGTACTTTGATAGGAATTGCATTAAATGTGTAGATTGCTTTAGGTAGCATAGACATTTTCACAATATTTATTCTTCCAATCCAGGAGCATGGAACATTTTTCCATTTCTTTGTGTCTTCCTCAATGTCTTTCATGAGTACTTTATAGTTTTCTGTGTATAGATTCTTAGTCTCTTTGGTTAGGTTTATTCCTAGGTATCTTATAGTTTTGGGTGCAATTGTAAATGGGATGGACTCCTTAATTTCTCTTTCTTCTGTCTTGTTGTTGGTGTAGAGAAATGCGACTGATTTCTGTGCATTGATTTTATATCCTGACAC